GATGGAGCATAAAATGCACCTACTATCCAACAATTCAATTAGTAGGGCGGAGTATAAAATGCACCTATTGACCAAGTAATCCTAACTGTGAGATGGAGCATAAAATGCACTCACTTCCACCAAAGGAAAAAAAAAAGAGAGCAAGTAAAAATGTTTTCCCTAGTTTACTACCTGGTTTGTAGTAGTAAACAAGGGATTGGCTGATAGATGAGTTGAGTATAACATGGTTGTGTTGACTTAATAGTTCGCAATAACCGACCTAGGATATTTGTGGAAAACGATGAAGGAAGATTGAGTTTAAAGATCGGTAGGATAGTTGTTGTTTTGTTTTTGCATGAATTTTGTCTTGCCCGAGGACGGGCAAGGTTTAAGTGTGGGGGGATTTGATGAGAATAAAAATTATCATATTTTTATCCCTTAATATTCAGTCTTTTACACTTATTTAGTGCCTAATTGGACTCACTATTCTTGTATTTCGATTTAGGGCACAAAAGAAGGTGTAGGGTGAAAAACAAGGCTAATCGGGTAATTTTGCACAGTTTCGGTGCTGTGTAGTAATCTGGGCATAACTCTCTCATCTGGACTCCGATTGAGATGATTAAAGATGTATTGGAAACATAAGGAGAAACTATACAACTTTCATGTTTTGAGTTTTGATAGATTTGGACTACATTGAGGTCAAAATTGAGCCCGAAGTCTTAGCCAATTCGTAGAGAAGCCCAATTCGCAGCAGAAGCCCAATTCGCAGAGAAGCTTTGCAGCAGCCCAATTCGTTGAAGAAGCCCAATACGAATGCAAGAATAAGAAACATCAAAGAGTCCTATCAGATTCAATTTTCTATTGTATTTCTAGAAGAATAAAAGAGATTAAGATTACCAGTTAGGAGATAGGAGTAGATTAGATCTAATCTAGGCATTATCTATTAGAGAACTAAACTCCCAATGAAGAAAGAACTCCTTAGAGGAGCAGGAGACAGCTCCCACCTAAGTCTATATAAAGGGGGCAGACTAGCACCCAAGGCACCACTCAACCTTGGAGACAGGAAATCAGCAAGCAAGGGAGAAAGAAGCAGGCTGGGAGCAGTCGAACCTCTCTTCTCTTCTCTTCTCTTCTCTTCTCTTCTCTCCGGCCCTTTTCCCTATTCTCTGATTTTCTTAGGAGTTTTCACCATGACCATGCATGGCTAAACTCTTGTACTTGGTCGAAGGAAGCAGAAGCATCAGAATCCACCAAACTGTGAGATCTAATTTGGTTTTTATTGTTTAATTCATGCTTTGGATATCGAATGTTCTTCTACGTTTTTATCTATGACTGTTTCGTTTGATTGCTACGAAGGCCTACTAGTTTATTATTCATTACAATCTATTGCTAGATTAGATATCAAATCCGTAATTGTTTGATCCCTCTAATCTGTGAAGCAACTAGGTTTTAATGGTTTGCTGCGTCAGAAATTGTTAGATCTTAGGAAGAACAGTCGACTAAATTAAATGCAACCTCTTGTGCTTGTGTTGTTTAGCTTCATCGATCTCTAATTCTTAATGCTATTGCTGGATTAAATCTTTAACGCTTGTTTAGGGGTTGTTCAGTAGTAAGGGTTAAGATGATCGCTTGTTTTCCGATTAAATGATAATAAGAGGATGCAGGAAATTAATTCCTAAGATTAATATTCAAATTCTGAATTGATTTATCTTTGCATCAATGAGCAGTAGTGTAATTCTAATGGTGGATGCTATCCTAGACCAAGATTTGTTCCCTAATTAATTTTAGCACTCAAAGATACCTAAATTCTCATTTAAATTGTGTTCTTTATTAATTCTGATTTTCCTTATTTTAAATTTGTTTTTCGTTACATACACCCCCCTTCATCTTTGATTCACGTAGCACATAATTTGGGTTAGATACTCTTTGTGGGAACAATCCCTACTCGCACTACTACATTCCATCTTTACGAGTAGAGGTTTATTTTTGGGTGCCTACGACAGCACGCCATAGATATGCAAGAGGAAGAGGAAGAGGAAGAGGTAGAGGTAATTTTGACAGAAAATATAGTGATGAAGGGTAATCACAACGGTGTTGTATTTGCAAAAGAAGCAGCCATGTTGACAAGGATTGTTGGCTTAAAGGAAAGTCATAGTGTCATTTTGCAAAAAGTTTGGGCATCTACAAAAAGATTGTAAATTGAAAAACAATCAGAAAACAAATTTTAAAGAAGAAAAAGAAGATGAAGGAAATTTATTTTATGCATGTCAAAGTGCCACGAAGGAAAATAATAATGTGTGGTTCTTGGACAGCAGGTATAACAATCATATGATAAGGCACCCAAATTTTTTTCTTGACAAGGACACATCATTTAGCTCAAAAGTGAAGTTGGGAAATGGAGAAATTGTTGAAGTGAAAGGCAAAGGCACAATTGGTGTTAAAACAAATAAATGAAGAAAGTTTGTATATGATGGGTTATTTGTACCTGAATTTAATGAGAATCTTCTTAGTGTTGGACAACTTTTGGAGTATGGTTATTCACTCCATTTTGAAAATCTTGGTTGTATGATTTATAACCATGAGAAACATGTGGTGAAAATTTTGAAAATGAAGACAAATAAACGCTTTCTTCTAGTGTTTAATTATGCAAAAAATGTTATTATGAATGCCAAGGAGGTTGATGAGTCATGGCTATGGCATAGAAGATTTGGCCACCTAAATTTCAAGGGGCTAAAGTTGTTATTACAAAAGGAGATGGTTCAAGGGTTTCCAAACATTGAAGAAAAGCATGAAGTTTGTGAAGGTTGTGAACTTGGAAAGCAACACCGACAACCATAGTGTTGGAATTAATTCATACCAATGTGCGTGGACCCATGAGGACTCCCTCTCATTCCCAAAATAGGTATTTCATTCTTTTTATTGATGTTATACTCATATAACTTRGGTTTATTTAATGAGGCAAAAATCTGATGTATTTACTATTTTCAAGAAATTTAAATGTCTCATTGAGAAACAAAGTGATTATTACATTAAAAAATTGAGAAATGATTGTGGCAAGGAGTACAATGAATTTGATAAAATTTGTGAAGATGAAGGCATGGAAAGGCAATTTATAGTTCATTATACTTCTCAACAAAATGGAGTATCAGAGAGGAGGAATCAAATTGTTATGAAGACTGCTAAATCCATGCTACATGAGAAGAAAATTCCCAAAAGTTTTTGGATTGAAGCTGTTAACATAGTTGTGTATTTGAAGAATCGATGCTCCACTATTGCTATTAAAGGAAAGACTCCATTAGAAACTTAGAGTGGAAGGAAGCCATCAATTAGACATTTAAAAGTGTTTGGTAGTGTATGCTATGCCCAAATTCCAAAAGAGAAGAGATCAAAGCTTGATGGAACTAGTGAGAAGTATATTTTTGTTGGCTATAGCTCTATGTCAAAGGATTATAAGATGTGCAGTTTGAAAACAAACAAGATGATTATTGGTAAAGATGTGTTGTCTGATGAGAAAGGTATTTGAAATTGGGAGTAAGAAAAAATTGAAGAATAACATATTCTCATGTCTAATTTGGAAGAGAATACAAATTAAAATGATGAAGGAACTTCTCAATCTTCTCCAAGTTYAAGCTCATCCATCTAGCTTAACTCCAAGAAAAATGAGGAGTTTAAGTGATGTTTATGCAAGGTGCAAATTTTGTATTGTGGAACCGGAAAGCTTTGAAGAAGCTATCAAGGAAGAAGCTTGGAAAAAAACAATGGAAGAAAAAGTTTTTATCATAGAAAAGAATAAAACTTGGGAGTTTGTTGATAGACCAAATAACAAAGAAGTGATTGGTGTTAAATGGGTTTACAAAGTGAAGCATAATTCTGATGGTTCTGTGCAAAAAAACAAAGCAAGGCTAGTTCTTAAGGGCTATACGTAATAGCCTGGTGTTGATTACTTTGTAACCTTTGCTCCCATAGCACGGTTGATACTGTTAAAACTCTCACTTCACTTCACTTCCAATTCTCAAAAGTTGGTTATTATGGCAACTTAATGTTAAATCAACTTTCTTGAATGGAGAATTAAAAGAAGATGGGTATGTAGAACAACCACAAGGCTTTGTGATTCAATGAAAGGAAGACAAGGTGTATAAGTTGAAGAAGGCCCTATATGGGTTAAAACAAGCCTTAAGAGTATGGTATAGTCAAATTGATGCATATTTTGTTGAGAAATGATTCATGAAAAGCAAGAGTGAGCCTACTTTGTATGTGAAGAAACAAGGTATGGATGATATTCTCATTGTTGCTCTTTATGTTGATGATTTGGTTTTTACTGGAAACAATATGAAAACGATTGAAGATTTCATAAATGAAATGGTGAAAAAATATGAAATGAGTGATATGGAACTGTTACATCACTTTCTTGGTATTGAAATTTATCAAGGTGATGATGGTGGATTCATTTGTCAAAGTAAGTATGTTGAAAAAGTTCTCAAAAAATTCAAAATGTTTGGATGCAAACCTATATCTACTCTACTAGTTGTTAATGAAAAATTAATGAAGGAAGATGGTGGTAAGAAGGTGGATGAAACCTTGTATAGAAGCTTGGTTGGAAACTTGTTTTATCTCACTGCTATAAGGCCTAACATTATGTTTGCTGCAACTTTACTGTCCAGATTTACGAACAACCCTAATTACATTCATTTGGGACTTGCAAAAAGAGTGTTAAGGTATGTACAAGGCACCATGGATTATGGAATTAAATATGACAAAGGAAATGAAGTGATATTGGTTGGTTTTTGTGATAGACTGGCAGTGATTGGGGAGGATGTGCTGATGACATGAAGAGCACCTCTGGTTATTGTTTTTCCTTTGGTGGTGGTGTGTTTTCTTGGTGTTCAAAGAAGCAAAAATCAGTGGCTCGATTTTCAACAAAAGCATATTATGTTCCAGTCTCAATGACACCATCTCAAACAATTTGGCTTAGGAGAATTATGGAAAATATTAATAAAAAGCAAGAAGATGTAACAAAAATTCATTGTGACAACAAATCTGCCATTGCTATGTCAAAGAACCTGCATTATCATAACAGAATCAAGCACAATGCTTTCAAACATCACTTCATTCAAATGCCATTGAAGATGGAGAAATTGAGTGTATTGCAGGACCCAAGAGCAATTAGTTGATATTTTCACCAAGCCATTAGAAAAAGAAAATTTTGAAGAATTAAGAGAAGCATTAAGAGTCCAATAACAACACATTAAAGAATGTTGAGGTTAATTTGCAAAAAAGTTAAAATGCTTTATGTTATTTTGTCTTCTTCTACAACATGTAAAAAGTAACTTTAGTTGGGTTTTTCATTTTTTGTTTAACCTAGGTTAGTTGTAAGAAGTGAATAGAAGAAGCTTCTATTTGGCTTGCTCAAGAAACCATCTTCTTGTATTACTCTTGCAAGAAAACCAAAATACGTAAGAAGAAGAAGATTTCAATCTTCTCTTGTTCTGTTTTTGCTCTCTGCTTTACTTCAATCTAGTGCATGTAAGTCCTTTGTTCTAGATCATTTTCTCCACTTTGCATGCACCCACAAGTAGCTAAAACTACATCCAACACCTAACAGAAACATATGTTGTTAAACAAATCAAGCTGATATGAATATTACCACAAAAACATGACAGCAATAATGGTTGGGAAATGAAGTCCGAAACTTACCTGAACCCG